AGTCATAAGCCCCGCCTCCTCAGCTCAAACATGACGAGGTGTAGTCATAAGCCCCGCCTCCTCAGCTCAAACATGAGGTGGTCAGTCATAAGCCCCGCCTCAACTCAAACATGACAAGGTGTAGTCAGTCATAAGCCCCGCCTCCTCTAAAATTTGAGACAAGAGGAGGAGCTTCAGTTAGAAACCCTGCCTTCTCACAGCTTCAACAAAAAGGTGGAGCATCAGATAGAAGCCCCGCCTCCTCAGCTCTGAATCAACAGCAGTCAGAAGTTTGGTGACAAACCCCGCCTCTTCTCACCTCTGAGACAACAAGAGGCGGAGATTAAGTTAGAAGCCACACCTCCTCAGTTCTGAGTCAACTGACTGATTCGGTCCTACCGGAAGACTCGAAGGTCTCTCCTGTTGGCTCAGACCCACATCCTCGTGGTTCGGTTTCCCAGGAGTCATAGCTGCGGACTTGCCCCGCCCCCCATATGCTTCCTGTGGCACTTCCTGCATCACAGGAAATCAATCAACAACAGGTAACATGTATCCTTTACTGCTCTTTCCACAGGAGTGATTCAGGTTTTGTAGTTTGAGGCCTACCTGCGGGGGCAGTGGGCGGGGCTGCATGTATGGCGGTTGGCTGGGGGCGGTGGTTTGTTGCTGCGGGGGGCTGAAGTACGGCGGCTGACAGTAACCGCTCATGTTCTGCTGCTGGCCGAACTGAGAGCCCATCTGAAGAGAAACGAGTCCGGTTAAAGAAAATATGTGAAACGTTTCCAACGAACGTCTGACGAGTTTCTTTCGTGTGTTTGGAACATTTCTTTACACGCGTGAATACAACCGTTTTCTTTTAGGCCTCAGAAAATGTTAGGTTGTAAAAAACGAGCAGAACATTTTTAGTCTCAACTTGTTGAGCACCTGAAGGCTCCGTGAAGCTTCATGACACGAAGCAGTTCTGAGTCACGAGACCCGAGTTCAGACAAGAAACACTTTTGATTTGAACTGAAGTCAAACCAGAGAAACCCGGAGTTCTTTGTTTGACTTCAACCTTCAGAAGAAGTTCTCAACGTTGCTCTGCTCTAAAAACCTCCTGAAACCAGAACCTGTCTGAGCCGCTCGGAAAGGAGAAGCTGGTCCAGTGTCCCTGGACTCAGGCGGGTCACGAAGGAGGAGTCCCGGGGCCACCTGGGGCCCAGGTGCTGAGAAGAAGCTCATTACTCCCTCCTCTCCGCCTGCGTGGCGTTCGTCATCAGAACTTGAGTTGGTGACGGCAGCGGCGGCGGCGGCGCGCTGAGGGCCACACACCTGCAGAGGATTCACCTGAACCTGGTCTTGTGTAGTGGAACTCTTCAGACTTCACGTTCATCGCACAGCAACAATAAAGAATAGACGACCAACAACGGAAGAAGAAGGTAACGAGTCGTTTAAACACGTCTGTGTGAAGCTGTTCCAGGAGCAACGAAAGGCCGAGGTCCGGATCAGAACCATCTGGAGGGTCACTGTCAGCAGGTCAGTCAGAGGACGGCGTATAAAGAGACTTGTAGAAGTAAAAAGGGCAGAGGTTCACCCGTCTGAGAAAAAACGTTTACAATGGTGGAAATATTTCAGAATAAAGTTCCTCAATGAAAGACTTTGGATCTGGTCTCCTCAGGTCCTCCAGAACCTCCAGCAACTGGTCCCAGGTTCTGGATGTTTCCAGACTGTTGTTAGGAGGTTTGGGAGTGTCCTCAGAGGAACGGTGGAGCTGAAGCAGTTTACACAGACGTGTTGCTGCAGTAAGTTCTGACTTCGTGTCCATTTCACAGACGGTCCGATTGTTGGAGCTGCTCCTCGGAGCTCAGCGTGTTTCTGAGGACAACCGTCAGCAACACGGCCTTCACCAGGGCTACCATCCACAAGAACTTCAGATCCTGCAATATGCTCCAGAAGGTTCAGTCACAGATATCCCAGGTCCGGAGTGTGTCACATATGTCCTGAAACACCCCCATCTGTGGGAGTTCATCATCATCATCATCATCGTCGTTCTGGAGCATCACGCTTTCATTTCTGACATGTAAACGATCAGAACTCACAGAGAAAGCCTCAGAAAACGTCTGTTCTGAGCTGAAACATCAGGCCCAAATCAGCAGTGGAGTCTTTAACAATAGCCCGAGCCCAGCTTGCACCAGGACCTGAGCCGAGGAACCCGGGCCGACCCGCTGCAGCCGTGTGGTCCCACAGCATCAACAGACCCGTCGTCTGCGGCGCAGCTCAGCGCCGCTGCAGGTCCAACAGCGCTCATAAAACAAACTGCAGCAGAGAAACAGGAAGAACTCCCTCCCAGTTCTGGACCAACAGGTTCTGCATCATCACCGGAGCCACGGTGCACAAGCCCCCGTGAAGCGTCCGACACGTGCACGTGCACGTGCAGTCCGTCTCCCTTTGAGCAGCAACAATGACATAAACTGAAAAATGAGGCCGGATGTTTCAGGTCAGGAACATTTAGCTTTTAAAAAAGACAAATGTTTCATGAAAACCACATCAGCTGAACACAGACCTTCGTGAATTTATTTAATGTATTTATTAAATAAACTTAAAAAGCAAAACATTTATTTTAGATAAGTTTGGTCACTTTATATTTGTCAGGTAAAGTCTCATATTAAGCATCAATAACCAGAATAATCAGGAAAATAAATCACTGTAATTCCACTTTAATATGTGACTTTACCTGTGCTGCTGATTATCCATGCTGCTGATCTCTTGCCTTTAAGCTGCTGAATTCAAACCCATCTGCTCACACCAGACTCATGTTCAGGCTGCCGTTTAATTCACCGTATTATTTTACATTATTAGTGTTTAGCGTAAATCTTAAATCTTCAATGGAGCAGCTGTGGCTCAGCGGTTAGAGCAGTTGTCCTCCATTGCAAGAGTTGGGGGTTTGATTCCACCAGCAGCCACATGCTGAAGTGTCCCTGGGCAAGACACTGAACCCCTCATCGTCTCTGATGTGTGTCCCCTCAGTGCATGGAGGTGATAAAGCTCTGATTATTCTCTGTAGAGATCTAGTATAGAGCTGTATGAACGGGTAGATGAGGCACAGATTGTTGTAAAGAGCTCTGAGTGTCTGGATCAGATAGGAAGGAGCTGAACAAGCACAGTCCGGTTACCTTTTAAATCCATACCGTTTCTTTTTACACTTTGTATTTTTGCTATTTTTGGGTGTAACTGGGACCTTGAGTACATAATTCTCATAAACCTCATGTACCATGTGATGCGAATGACAATAAAGAACCTTGAACCTTGAATAAAATCTGGAGTTCCCCAAGGTTCAGTTTTTGGTCCAGTCTTGTTCTCATCACAGCCACTTCAGATCCATTTCTCTGTAAATGACCTCCTTTATCTGAGTGTTTAATGAATATTATCAATTAATAAAATTATGAAACGTTTGTCTGAAGTTAAACTCAGATTAAGATATTTTTAAATTAATCCTGGGAGCCATAACAAACTGTCAACACTCCAATCATTTCTGCACAAACTTCAGAAAAACAACATGTTTTCATTTTAATATTTAGGCTTTACCGTCGCAGCATCAACGTTTTAAATTTGTTTTCTTAAGTACACTGAGTTTAAAGATTTTAAGATGCAAAATGAGCTTAACCTCATAATGAATCAAGTTAGGTACATCTTAGATCCTTATTTACCGTTTCTTTTTACACTTCATATTTGTGCTATTGTTAGATGTAACTGAGACCCTGTGGACATACTTTCGTTCCACCTCATGTACCACATGTGATGAGAACGACAATAAAATTGACTTGAGCTTGATAAATTGCCCAGAACAACAGGAAGTGTTTATTTCTGTTTACAAGAAGATGAAGTGTTCCCTACCTGCTGCTGAGGGAACTGCATCCCTCCCATCCCGGTCTGGGCCCGGCCTGACATCCCCATCTGGTATCTGTGGGGGAAGGTGGATCCGTAGGGCTGTCCGGGGTACGGCGCCCCCCGCTGCTGGGGGTAGGGGCTGCTGCTCATCCCGTAGAGCTGAGAGCGTTTCATCACCATCGGGTCCACGGGCGGCACCTGAGGAGGACAAACACCAGGACGATGAAGAGCAGCTTGAAATGTTTTAACGAACAACGAGTCCGTCTGAAAGTTAACCCGATGGTCTCCGTCACGTAGAACAGCACAAAGACAGGATCTTCACGTGTCTTTAACTGGGTTAGTTGGTTCTGCTCCTCTGCAGGTCCTCAAACTCACGTTTAGTCGTTCTAATCTAAAATAACGCCTCAAACTGTTCCTGAGCTTTATGAAGCTACGAGACGAACACAGCAATTTATGCACCAAAAACAGGCGAAACAACGCGTTGAAGCTGGTTCAGAGGATTTTATGTGAGATAAAGAAACAAAAACAAACTGTCTGAGCGTCAGCAGCTCGAGGATCAGTTCTCCTGTGAGAAGCTGAGTCAGGGACATTCACTGAGCCCAAACCCAACAGCTGAGCCTCTCCGTCCAGAACCTGCTGCTAGTGCTGAATCCAACAGGCCAGGAGGAGACAGATGTTTCCAAACAGCTGGAAACAGAACCAGTGATGGGTTTAATCCTGAACTTTGACCTCATTCCTTCAATCAGCTGATGGGAGTAAACAAACAGAAGACTTGATGGTTCTGACCCCAGGTCAGTTCTAAAACTAAAGAGTTTCTGCTGTCTCATTTTAAAACTTGTGTTTTACTCAGAAACAACAGCTCAGTACATTTACACGCAAAACTCGTAGTTTTACTATCAAATATCTTGATTTATTTTCACCTTCATCTCTAAGGTTTAATCAGTCAAGCCTCAAATCAAACCAGATTTGTTTCAGTTTGATCATTTTTAAACATAAAGCATGAAAAATACGATTATAAGCTCAAATGATATCACTTGCTGTTTGCAGTAAAGGCTCCAGGCTGTTCAGGGAGCGGACGCGGCTCCGCTGACCGGTGAGAGGAGCCCCTCCCCGGGGGCAGCCGGGTATTTACCCCGGCGCTGACGGCCACATGGCTAATCTGCATGTGTGAAGGTCAGCAGACCCGGACATGATGGGCTTCCTGCCAATAAATCCACGGACATATCAAAGGCTAAACACAGCCACCGCATTCCGGACCACAACCCCGTTAAATAACACCCGGCTCCCGGCTGCACGGTGACCCGTTTCCAGGCTCAGGAAGCGGACAAAACGAGCTGACTGACGGCGGGTTGATCGCTTCAAAAACAGGCTAATTAGCATGTGATCAACGGTCACCTGGTGTCGGTTAGACGGGAATTGAGCTGTCAGCTCAACGCCGACTCCTGTCAACACATCTCCGTGTTCCCTGGATTTGTTTATTTACACAAAATAAATATTAAATTGTCATTTTTGATCGTTTAACGGGCAGATTCGGGACGTGGAGCCCCTTCGGGCCTGTGCGGCTGCAATGCTAGGGTTAGCTTAGCGAGCTAATCTTAGCTTAGCCTAGCAGGCTAAAAACGGAGTCACCTTGGAAACAAAATCAAAAACAATAAATCTACTTACGAATGTTGACTTTATTTGCCGTTATTAACCGTCCCTTTAGTAAATAAAGAACGAAGATAAATCTGTCGGTGGTGAATAGACCAAACTGTGAAAATAAGTGTCGTGTTGCACAAAGTCTCGGCTGTTAGCTCAACGGCTAACTGAGACGTAACGGTTGAACGAACGTCTCTTTCCGGTGGAAACAAAATAAGTTCTGGGTTCTTCACCTGAGATCTGGCGCTGCTCGGTCCGTTGCTCCCCGGGCTGATGCTCGGGGGGAGACTCCTTTGTTGTCCCCCCCAGCCGTGAGCCGCGGAGTCGTACTGGGAGCCCGTGTCTTCCGCAGGGTAGTCCGAATAGCCGCCTCCGTAGCCGCGCATCATGGCGCTGGGGGACGTCAATAGCTGGTTTAGGGTCGGCGTGGTCCCGGACGGGTGCTGCTGCTGCTGGCCCGGTCCGGGGAGCCGCTGGAACCCTCCGGGGCTGCTGGGGGCAGCCATGGCCGCTTTGCTGGCCGGGCCCGTCAGGCTGTTCCCCTGCCGGGAGGGGCTCATCATGCCCCCGTGCCCGCTGGTCCCGTAGCCGGCCCGGAGGTTCGGGTGGTGGTACTGAGAGTTGGTGTTGTAGACCTGGTCCATGGTGGAGCCGTGTACCGAGTGCGCCGCCGCTGTTAGCCCGGTCCCTGCGCTTTGTTGTCCGCCATGTTGATCGAAGCAAGGCCCTCCTCCTCCATCCCCGTGATAATGATGAAACCCGGAGCTGGTCCCGGTCGGAGGAGGGCTGGTGCTGGTTCTGGAGGTGGCTGATCCCGGGCTGGCATCCATCCGCGCCTCCTCCACCTCCTCTGACTCAGCTGACGGAGCTCCTCTGTTCTGCTGCTCCCCACCAGGTGGAGGTTTTCTGTCCCCACCGCTCCCCGGAACCTGTTGTTGTTTACAGTGTTTTTGCTGTTTAAAGTGTTATTTACAGTGTTGTTGTTGTTGTTTACGGTGTTGTTATTTACAGTGTAGTTGTTTAGTGTTGCTGTTTACAGTGTTGTTGTTTACATTGTTTTTGCTGTTTACAGTGTTGTTGTTGTTTAGTGTTGTTGTTTACAGTGTTGTTGTTTACAGTGTTTTTGCTGTTTACAGTGTTGTTGTTTACAATGTTTTTGCTGTTTACAGTGTTGTTGTTGTTTAGTGTTGCTGTTTACAGTGTTGCAGTTTACATTGTTTTTGCTGTTTAAAGTGTTGTTATTTACAATGTTGTTGTTTACAGTGTTCTTGTTTACAGTGATTTTGTTTACAGTGTTGTTT